CTACAGAAAACCATTGGACACTTATCTCAGTCCTCGGTAGTTGTTGGTTTTGACCCAACACCAACTCCAAAGGCTGGAAAGTCACTCCGTAAGCCGACACCCAACACTTCTTCTCAACCTAAAAAGAGGTCATACCGTAAAAAGTTTACAAAGGGAATGGAGTATACGGACAAAGAGATGGAACAAGCAGGAAGAAGCTTACCTGACGCTCCTTTTATTTTCTATGAACCAGAAGCTTGGAATAAATTGGAGGAATGGTCAATGATGAAACCGTAAGTACCGTGTATTTCTTTTCTAACTCTCTTTACATTGGTAACATTTGTTTTGACAATCTTTAGTACATTTTGTTTGGTGTTAAAGGTGCCCAGAACTACGTTTTGGTCCAATCATCTTTAATTATGAAGTCGCAGACATTATCATGGACAGACATAGTTGGCTTCGTACTGGGGTAAGTTTAACAATTGTTTGTTCATCCTAATTTGAGAAGTTTTTAATAACTCATTATTATTTTCAGGAAATGGATGCAGTAATGTACTTATTCAGAGAGAGGACAATTTTGTGCCGCTGAAAACCAGACCGAGTTGCTTTCATGAGCTGCTCATTCGACACTCACATAAAAAAAACGCACCAACAGTTGAACAAACTCAAGAAAGGAATCAATTTAAGCAGCTTGTTATTAGCTTTCGAAAATGGTGATCTTTCAGCTCATGGAAAAACAGGAAGCAAGTGGGGTATTGACGTCGACCGTATCTACATTCCACTGAATATCAACAATAACCACTGGATCTCGTTGTGCGTTAATCTCAAACTTAAAACAATAGAGGTCTTCGATTGTGATGGGCATAGACGTATGAAGGAAATGGAAGCGTTCTCAATCATCATGCCGCGTATTGTGAAAGAAGTTCAGTCACCTGAAGACAAGAAAAATATGAACATTACTCCGTACCAAGTCATCTATGTGCCAATGCTGGATGGAATCAATAGGATCGCATGTCATTGCGGAGTGTACGCGTTAAAGTATATAGAATGTCACGCGCTTGGACTCGACTTCTATCTGCTAGATGATGAGAAGAACATCATAGATGCTCGTATTAGGACAGCAGTTGATTTTTTCGAAGCGGCGAACGATCATGAGTTCATTGAACGTATGTATAAATACATACCTCCTGATGTTGTAGAACTTAGTTGAGATTGGGGTTTAGTACTAGGGATCCCTTAACTATGATTGTTTTCTAACGTTTATTGCAATTTTATTTTTAAAACTAAACTTTTTTTGTTTCTTTTTAATACTTGGGAAAAAAATTTTGTTTAAGCTCTTTTAAAAAAAAAAAAAATACTAAACTCTATTTTTTTGTTATATTATATCTATACCCTAAACTAAGATTCTAATACTTGACACATTTAAAAA